TATATGTTAAGTACAGGAAGAAAATAGGACAACAAAATATTTTATTTATTTATTAAAACATTATTTATTGCAAAATAAATTGACAGGTTATGAATGGTTATGTTATATAAATTATAAAGTAACCTTTCTGCATTTTTGTGCTGCAAATTCCTTTATCTGGTCATCGCACTGTAAGTCCTTTGTTAAATCGCAATATGGAAAGAACTGATAAAAGATTTAGTCCATAGTTCGACATTGTAGCCCTGTATTTGTTTTCTATAATATACGACATCCTGGAGAAAGAGCTTCACAGCTAGTGATCAACAACGTTAACAAAATCTTTAAGATGGTATAGCAGTTTGGGAAAATATCAACAACTTTCTTTTCATAAATTACCCAAACAATATTTCACTGCAAGAGGTGTCTTAGACTGCATTAAGTAAGATTCTAACTGAATGCACTCATTCACTAAATGTTCGTCTACATCATTTGGATAATAATCATTTCTAACAATAACAAAGTCAATTCGTTAATATAGTCGACGCTTATCAGACCTTCTTTGGTAACAACTAAAGAATGGGGTGACATGCCGAAAACAGAACTGGGATTAAAAATCAAGAAGTTCTTTATTGATGAATTCGAAGCATTTATCAATTGGATGTACGGTAAAATGCAACAATACAGTTTAGCAGAATGAAACCAACAAGAAAAATAGTCTTGCAATTTGTTGGTAACAAATAAAAACGTTAAAAAAAATATTCCTACAAACAGCTTCTCTCAGTGACGACTCATGATAAAATCAACCGAGTTTACTATTTTTGATAGTTAATTCGTCTATAATCTTCTTGATGACACTATCAGTTTTTGGTATAATTAAATTTAAAAGCATCGAAAGACCGTGGTCGTTGGCTAACTTTGGTCCTAACATAGATCCCTACTCTAAATTCCTGTATTAATAAATTTGAGTCGCAAAAATACATAAATATCTTGACAGCACTACGGTATCACAAGCACAATAATGTGAGTATTAACTTTACAGTTAAAAAATAAATAAATTAATGTGATTTGTCAATATACATAAATGTTTTTTTATTGCCATAGCTGTATATTCATATAATTTGAAAGAATACTAAAACAAAATAATTACTTTATGAGTAATTATGAGAAAATACTCAAAAGTAACATTTAATTTTTTCGTATAACTACTCAAAAAGATGCAGGGTGGTGAGACGGCTGACCGTCTTCATTCATTCTGTGATAGTTCCCTGCCATTTCCACGTTCCCCAATTATCTAATAAGGTAATAACGGGAATTGGCGAAACGGGAAACCCTAAATTGTAGCGTTTTAAATTTTAAATAAACTATTGCTTATTTATATATGCATCCACCATTGTTCAATTTTGCAATCTTTTACTAGCAAAAATACAGAGACAATAGAGCAACACGTGGCCAGTCAATACAAATGACGCACAGACAAGTACTAGATATGGTCTCTACGTATCTTGGTATAGACGTTAACGAAGCAATCGAACACGTAATCGATTATGACGAACATATTGATCTATTTGAGGATTTTTTAGCGCCCAACGGTCGCAAAGGTCTTCTCTTTTATTATTACACGAGTGATCCACCGGAACTAGGTAAACTTTAGAAATTTCTAATCGTTAGCAATACCCAACAAGAAACTGTTGCTAATACAAGTAGATAAATGATTTAAAAAAGTTTTTTTTTAGTGAGATTTTGTTCATTTTCTTTAAATGATCAAGAATCTAAATTTTATATGACACTAATGCTTTTGTAAATTAGTAAAAATTTCACTATCTATTTTAATTATTATTTGTTTAATTTAATGTAGAAACTGGTCGCTATAATGCATTGTCAAAAGAAACAAAATGTAACAGAATGTATGTAACAGACGGTGCAAAGGGTCAAATAAAAGGAAAGGTAGTTGTAGCGTATAGATTTCAGACTGCAAAAGCTATAGATTTAAAAAATGTTTACGATGTAAGTAATATTTTTAGAATTTGTTAAATTTTTTTGTATAAGTATTTGACTGTTTGTTATCCTTTTTTGTAAACGTATGTAAGTATTAAGTACCTACTATAAAATTATTGAAAGATTTCGTTTACGTTACCGACATAAGCTGTACGAATCAAACTAAGAAGTAAAACGTACATTATCTACATTATTTTAAGTTTATCTAAGTGAAATGAACATAAGTCAAAACTTATTTTGTACGCTGCATATTAAACGTTCCAGACAGGAAGTCTGGAGATAGGAGCAAAAACTTAACCCAAAGCGAATGAATCTGAAAAGCATCATGTCTAATAAAGGATAGAAAACATAAGAGTCCGCTGCGCCATGAGCGACTGCGCATCAGTTTCGATTGTCAGACACAAAATGTAAACAAATTCGCACATGCGCATCATTCAAAAATAAACTGTGTGCTACAAGGACGCAGGCGCATAACGAACACACTTAAAATCTCCTTGTCTACGCGTCAAATCGGATGCGCACTGCTTTACTGCGCAGCGAACTGCTGAGTACAACTTTTTACTCCTAATCTCTTGTCTTCTTGGTCCAGTTCATCTGCAATACGAAAGATCAAACAAATTACGCAATCTCTCAATAATGCCACTTGGTGATACATGTAGTA